GACACTTCTCTGATGACCTCCGTTTAAACTGTACTGACACCAAAAGGTCTTTACAACAGCCATGAGTCTCTCCCTCTAACATGCCCTTGACTTCTGATTCTGCCTTCACTTCTCTCCATGTTGCTCTGAGTATGCCAGGCGAGATCCCACAGCTTGCCCTCCACATTGGCTCCTTCCTCAACCCCAGAGATGATGCCTGCTAAATCTCTTACTACTTGTGGGTCCTCACTCAGGTGCTATCTCTTCAGTACCTCTTCCCACCTCTCTTTCTTATTTTGCATGCTTATCATCAACTAATATAGTCTATATTTTTTCATAGAATTTGCTTTTTTTGTCTTCTGTTATTTCTTGTCTTTCTTCCTCCCCTTTCATGATCTTCTTTCTAGTTTAATGGCACATATACAAATGGGCATATCACATGGATATATAAATACACATACATAATTTAAAATTTCATTTCTACATACAAGAGAAAACATGATTTATTTTTTTGAGTCTGGCTGATTCCACTTAACAAAATGATTTCCAGCTCATTTTTTGCATGTTTCAGTAACTTCTTATGGCTTGAAAATAAACTCTATGATGGTAGGGATTTTTGACATTTTTGAATATTTTTTTTACTTATTCCCTGGTATTTCTGTTATTTAAGTAGCAACCACAGCTAGAGTGAGTTGGATGTTTGAATGTTCTGAGATGGAGGAGGCCATCAATCCTGATCTGCCCGTGCTGGTTCAACTGCAGAAAGTGAACACTTGAAGTTGAACTGCAGCAAAACTAGTTGAATTATAGTCTTAATACTGTTATCTAACTCCCATACCTCTGCTAAATTGCCTCAGTTCCAGCAAAAATCAACTGTAGGCAAAAGTAAGAAGAGCTGATTCCTGGGACATGGTAGTGGGAATCATTGTTCTGTGAAGGTTTTAGGAGCTAACTATTTGATGTGTTCTTATGGACATGGGTTGGGAACAAATGAAAGGATAATAGGTCCAGCTAAAGATCCCTGAGTGCATGTTTAAGGCAAAGAAATCTGTGAGATTAAAAATGGCAGTATAGAAACAAGACTTTGTCGAAAATATAAAAGTGATTTAGCTGTCTGTGGGACAGCTGAGAACTTTGGTCATCAGCAAGAATAGAGAAGATGGAGCTTGTTGGTAGAGATCTGGTGGAGGGAGAAGTACAGCATTTCTCTCTTTTCTTCATATCTGGTGCCAGGGCCAGTCCCTCAGAATGGCATGTGTAACCCATGTGAATGTGTGTGAGAGGAAAATTTGGCAGTGACTTAGCTAGTGCCTAGGAGAGATGGATCCATTAAGGCAATGACCAAATCTGCCTTTTGATGGCTATATTCCCATTTCTGGCTCAAAGCCTGGCATGTCATAGATGTTTAACCCATGCCTCCAGAATGAATTCATGCTGAAAAATCAGACCTTGGTGCCATTGTTTCTTTTCTAAGCTTTTTTTTTTTCTCTCTAAAGCCTCTAATGTGGAGGCTTGAGGCTTATTACTAGACATTTGGTGACAATCTAAAATACATTTGTGTGAGCACACGTAAGAGTCTGCAGGGGGTTGTGGTCTATTTTTCAAGTATCTGTGTTTCTGGTTTGCTTGGTAGCATTTTGCCTTACATGACTACTTCTTTTTGTCAGTGAGAAAAAGAATGGCCCTCGTGCCTTTGGAAATAAGATGCCTATATTCATATTTCAGCTCGGTCTTCCTTCCATGTGATCTCACAGAAGTTACTACATTGTCCTGAGCCTCAGTTTCCCCATTTGTAAAGGAGTAATTATGGTTATACTATCATAGAATTGAGTTTAGAATTAAGAGAGATAATCCAAGGAAAGTCCTTAATGGTGTGCTGCCTATGGGAGGTATGTTATGAGGAGCTGATTCTTCTTATTCTCTGTGCATAGAGTGAAAGGGTATGGGAAATGAATCCTTCACCTCCTCCATGGGGGCAGGAAAGAAAATAAAGAGAAACACCAGGTCTTGTCTTGTTAGGTTGAAGCTGGAGTTGGTCAGGCTTGGTCTTATTTGGGAGCAGGAAGAAGGTATGAAGTTATTCCTGAGGACTTTAAGTGCTAAAGAAATGAGCTGTGAGAATCTGCAGAATCCCAGTTCCAAACATGAAAGGTATGTCCAAAAGGTCCAGGCACACCTCCTAAGAGCTAGGTGAAGAGCTCAAAGTTCAGGAGCAAATAAAGGCAAGGGAAAGACTAGGACCAAAAAAGGTAGAAGAAGAAAGGGCTGGCCCTGCGATACTGCCTAGAATGTTGTCACCTACAGACTCCTTGCTGGCTTGCCTTGAGTCAGAATTGCTTAAAAGGTCAGAGACGGGGCATGCAATGAGAGAAAGCAGCAAGGCTGTCCCCAGGAACTCTCTGGTGAGCTCAGATTTAAATGGCACATGAATAAAACATAGAAAAAAAATGGCATGGCATAATATTCTATGGGGAATATGAGGGAAGTGTGAGTTTGCAACACAGCTTTAGGAATACTAAAGACTGATATATATGCCCCAAGGACACAGACTTTCCAAATGCTACCAAAGGGGCTCAGACAAAGAGCAAGGTGTGGTTGTGGTGCCGGCCTGATCCCGGCACAGTCATACTGATGGCAGAAAAGCAGATGAAACTCAAGAGCAGGAACAGCAGCAGCAACAACAAAAAAACAGCTCTTGGGCCCTAAGTCAAGAAGCCAGTAATAAGTATACTAACATGGGCAAGACTGAAGCAACATTTTTGTTTTGGGGCGAGGATCATGGAGACAGTCCCAATCCATGTCATTGATGGATGGAACCTCAAATTTAATGTATAAACCCAAAATTTAGAAATCTACATATTTCTTTCTAAAAAAACCTTCTATTTTCTCAAACTATTAGATGGTTTGATATTGTTGGATGCTTAGCACAGGGTCATGAAATCTGAGGTGCTGCTGACTTTGGTTGGGAATCTTTAGTTTCCCATATTTTCCCTCCCTCCCCTGTCCACTACTTGGCTCCTATAGACATTTGAGTTTGTGACCCCTTGCGTAAGTGCTGGAAGTCCGTCCAAGTCCCTGGCTAAGATCCCAGGGGCCCATGAGACCTTGTAAACATTGAACCTCTGTGGGTGATCTTAAAGGAATCCTAGAAAACTGAATTGATGTTATGAAATGAAAATGGGTGGCATCACTGCAATGTTCAAAAAAGCAACAGAAAGTGGAAAAGGTCCCTGGGTAAACTGGGAGATGCACTGAGAAGAAGTATAATTTTTATTTTTCATAAGCACCAGAGAATAATCTACAGTGGTATCTCTAGAACGTGTCCGAGACCCCATCCTCACACTTGTCCAGTGATTTGGATGAAAATAAGGGACAGCTGTCACGTCATGCATATAACACAAAGCTGGGAAGGATATTCTAGCCACTCTTAATGGAAACCTCATTACAACACTGTAGATCCCACCCCACTGACTTTGCAGAACAGTGCAGTGAGAGGAAAGTAAGGTTGGTTTTTGATCAGAGTAGGTCAGTAGGACTTAAGAATTGGCTGCCAAGGATGCCAATCTGATCTCTGACTTCTAGACTAAAATGGAAATACCTAGAAAAAGGAAAAAAGTTCCAGCCTACTGCAGATGTCTTTCAAACCTGGCATACATGTACAATTCAGACACTTCTAAGACCTAGCTGGGTTCTAGAGCATTTGCCTAGTGTGTGCAAAGCCCTAAGTTCCAACCCCAGCACTCTGTTAGATCAGGTTGATGGAGGTCAAGTGGAAACAAAGGAAAGCAGACAAGCATCTCCAGAAAGAAAATGTAATTGTTCTTTTAATCAGAACACCTGAAGGACCGTAGTCTTTCTATGAGAGGGGAGATTGTGGCGTGAGGGTCTTGGGGTTTTAGAGGACGGAAAAGGGGGAGTCTGGCATTGTGGAATATTACTTTAAGAAAAGATATGTTACATTTGTTTTATTTGTTTGTTTCAAGACAGGGTTTCTCTGTAGCTTTGGAGCATGTCCTGGAACTTACTCTGTAGACCAGGCTGGCCTCAAACTCACATAGATTTGCCTACCTCTGCCTCCTGTGTGCTGGGATTAAAGGTGTGCACCACTACTGCCCAGCTATTGCTATATGTTTTTCCGAGATATTTGAAAAGAGGTTGCAGGCATCAGAGCACTCATACCTGCATCTTCTAAGAAGGATGACCTCTAAAGAACCACTGTTCTACCAATACATAGAAGAAAGTGGACAATGATTCCTAAGCACAAATAATATCTAGCCCTTATGTTATGAGTAAGTCAGAAAGCCTTAACACCCGGTGAGAAAGCATTCTCCTGCCTCCTTCCATTCCCTATTGCTTTTAGGGAAAAAAAAATCTTTTCTAACATTGATAACATTTCTCTCTCCACTCCACCCCTCTCATCTTTTAAAAATTAAATCTTTGAGAGTTTTAGACAATGAATTTTGACCACATTCATTCTTTTCTCCAAACCCCTCCCAAATCCACCCCTTTCTCTACCCACCCAAATTTGTAAGCTGGGAGTTTCATCCTATGAGCTAGCTTTCATAGCATTGGAAGGTGCTATGCATGCTACTGAAGGAGAAAAGTAATCATCAGTCTCACCTAGCTGTGAACCCTTTGAGCTACAATAATGAGTGGCCTAGCAAGACCTCTCTACTGCTGCAATAGTGGTTTGAACCACTTTCTGATTGGATTGCAGTCTCACTCCATAAAATGAAGCCCATACCTGGTGCCAATGTTGCACCAACAAAACAAAACAAAAAGTCCCAATATCTAGGCACATCATAGACTCTAGGGTAGAACCTATTATGTTTACTTTGCTAAATGGACACACCATTAAACTGACTCCTAATGAGTTCTTTCAGCACCCACAATGCATCTCTCGACTGTCATCAGAGAAGCTTCAACTTTTAGTAGATGATAATTGACACAGGGACCTACAACTGATCAAGGTGTGGAGAATTAAAGACTGGAATGTTTAGCCTTAAAATAGAGCATTTATACTTCCCTCTTTCCTACAAAAGCTCGGGAATCATTGTGGAAGAGCAGACGGAAAGAGTATAAGAACCAGAGATGGTGGATGACTGCAAGGAAATAATAGTGCCTTCTAGGCACAGCAGGACAGCTACACATATGAAGTCACAGTGGTTGTGACAGCATACATACTCCCTGTGAGCCTCAAGCCAGACTAAATCCCAGTATGGACAGGGGAGCTGTAAGTGAAGTCCCACCTTTCACTGAGGAGATATAAGCAATTGGCACCTGCTGGGAAAGGGAGCATCTGTTTCTTTGAAGTGATGCCATTGACAGGTGAATCATGTTCTAGTAGAAGACCGCACAGTCATGAACATATGGGCAGCACAAATTGGTCTTGATGGGTGAAAAAAAGACTACACAGTAGTTGGTATTCGAAAGGTTTTACTCTTGTCTTGAAGTGTTTTGTGTTTTTCCCCCAGTATTTTTGTAGTTTGAGGTTTTACATTTTTGATCCATACTGAGTTGATTTTTTTCAATACATACATATGTAGAGATATCCAATTTTCCATATACCACCTGTTGGCAAGTCTATTATTTCTCCAGTGCCATTTTTTGGGTTCTTTGTTAAAGACCAGTTGGCTCTAGATGTGCGAATTTATTTCTGAAGTTTCTATTCTGTTCTATTGGTCTTAGTGCCTGGTTTTATGCTACAGTCATATTGTGCTGTTTTGGTCACTATAGCTTTGCAGTATGTTTTGAGGTAAGATATCGTAATATTCTAGCTTTGTTCTTTTGCTTGAGTTTGCTTTAGCTCCTTTGTCTTGTAGTAGGTAGCTGTTCCAGCTTTGACCTGGAAGTAATAACCCCATTGAGGCTTTCGGTAACTGTCACACCTACAAGGTGGGCAGAGAGGAGTCATTAAGACCCAAGATCTGGATATGCCAGCTCTCTTGGTTTCTGGATCCTGGACACTGGAGGTAGACTGAGCAGAGTTCTTCAGAGAACACCGCTGGACTGCACTACACCTTTCCTGTACCCTGTAACTTATCCCTTTACTTGTAAGTTATCCACAAAATAAACCTCCCTTTTAACTACATAGAGTTGACTTAATACTTCCACCAATATTGCCTATTTATGTATCCTTGTTTTTTCTTCCTGTATCCTCATGATTATTTCTGTTTCTGTGAAAAATGCTATTGATATTTTGATGGGAATTACAGTGAATCATTAAATCACACTGTGTAAAACAAACATTTTAATAATATAAATCTTTTCAGTTAGTGATCATAGGCTGTCTTTCTATTTTTTAGTGCCCTTGTCTATGTCTTAATGTTACATCATTTTTTTCTTGTGAAAATAAACAACTTCCTTGTTAAGTTTACTCTTAGATTTATGTATGTGCATGTGTGCATGCATGTGTATTATGAATGGAAGGTTTAAAAACATCTTTTGTAGTAAGTTTTCAATGGGATTTAAAAATAGTAGTTATCGTTACATGTTGGTTGCGCATTCTGTAACTTTACTGTATTTGTCAGTTCTAGCAGGTTTTTAATGATATGTTTAGGTTTGTCTTTATATAAAATCATGCTGTCTGTAAACACCTACAATCTGTCTCCTTTCCCTTTTCTATGAGGAATAAGTTGAAGGAAGTGGATAGGTATTCTTGTCTTGATCCTAATTTTTACAGGACATTTTCAGTGTTTCCCAAAGACATTGGCTGTGAGTCTAACAGGTAGCCTATACTATTTTTGGGTACTTAAATTCTATTTTAAATTTTATCCAGTGGTTTTTCTATATTTATTGAGATGATCTCCCCCCCTTTTAATATCTGCTGATCTCACGTATTTTGTTTCTATGCTTTGGTTGAATAATTGTGCCTTCTTAGGATGATCATAGGGTATAATTTTTCAATGGTCTGTTAGGTTTTGTTCACTAGTATTTTGTTGAGAATTTTTGCATCTATATTCATCAGGGATGTTTTTTTTTCTTGTTGCATTATCTTCTCTGATTTTGATGTATTAGTGGTACTAAACTAGAAAGAGTTTGAAAGGATGCCTTGTTTTTCAATATTTGGCAGTAGATTGAGAATAATTGGGGTAGGTTTTCTTTCACAATGTGGTCAAATTCATCAATTAGGCCATCTTATCCTAGGCTGTGGTAGTTTAATGTAATCCCCCCCCCATAATTTCATAAGGAGTGGCACTATTGGGAGGTGTGGCTGTGTTGGAGTGGGTGTGGCCTTGTTGGAGGAAGTGTGTCACTCTGGGGGTGGGCTTTGAGGTTTCCTATGCTCACGATACTGCCCACAGGATACTGCCCAGTGTCTCAGTTAACTTCCTGTTGCCTGCAAGATGTTGGACTCTCAGTGACTTATCCACTACCACATCTGCCTGCACACCACCATGCTCCCTGCCATGATGATAATGGACTGAATCTCTGAACTGTAAGTGAGCCCCCTCAATTAAATGTTTTCCTCATAAATGTTGCAGTGGTCATGGTGTCTCTTCACAGCAATAGAAAACCATAACTAAGACAGAAGTTGGTACCAGGAGTGGGATATTGCTGTGATAGGTCTGACCATGATTTTGTTTAGAGGAATTTAGACTTTGGTCCTTTGGGTTATGACAGTAGTGAGATGCTTTAAGTACTGCTTAATGGGCATACTAGGATGAAGTTGGAAAACAGAGGTACTAAGAGTTATTTCAAACTGTTGGGGGCTAACTCAAGAGGTTTCAGAGGAGAAGAATTTTAGAATGTTGCCTAGAGATTGTTCTTGTGATATTTTGGTGAATAAGATGGCTGCCCTTTGCCCTTGTCCAAAGCATCTCCCTGAGGCTAAAGTGAAGAGTTTTGTATTAATTCCATTGGCAGAAGAAATCTCAAGACAGCCTAGTACAGACTCTGTTATGTGGTTATTAGTGGTAACTGTAATGAAGATTTATAATGAAAAGGAGCAAGCAAAGCAGGGTAAATTAAAACTTGTAAATTTTGAAGAGAAAAAGAACACCAGAAAGTGGAATAGAGCTAAATCCTGTGCTCAAGGAGATATAGGGATAAAAAAATTGAGTAAAGGGAGTAGTGACCTCAGGGCAAACTCCCACTCAGCTAATTTTCCAACTTGTGAAAGGAATTAAAGAAACACTTAGAGCTGGGTGTGGTGGGGCACATCTTTAATACTAGAACTCAGAAGGCAGAGGCTGGCAGATCTCTGAGTTTGAGGCCAGCCTGATCTACAGAGCAAGTTTCAGTATAGCCAAACTTAGGCAATGAAAGACAGAAAGCTGGTGAAGATATAAATGAATGTTTCAGCCCCAGCAAGCAGCAGAACTTGGCATCTTCAGTCACGTGGTTCTAATTTTAGAGTTAGGGATAGAAGAAAGGAGTTATGGAATAAATCCACTGAGGCCAGGCATGTGTCAAGGGTGTCCCTGAATGGAGGACTAGTAGAGAGGCCATTGCATGAAGCTATGAAGTTGAAGCCTGGATTGCCTTGGAGAACCCAAGATGTTAGAGATGCCAGAGTCCTGGGATACCTGCCTAGAAGAGCTGCTAACAGGGAGTGGAAACAGCCCAAGAGAAAGTGTGTTGCAGTCAACAAAGCTGAACAGAGTTGGAGATCTGATGAGTGTTTCCAAATCAGACATGAAGATGCAGAGTTTGGAGTTTGCCTAACTGGTTTTTGGTCTTGTTTTGGTCTAGTATTTCATTGCTATGCTCCCTTCTCTGTATTTTTGAATGGTAATGTATATCCTGTGTCATTATATGTTGGAAGTATGTGATCTGCTTTTTGATTTTGGTTTTTACAGGTGATTATAGTTAAGAGATTGCATGAATCTCAGAAGAGACTTTGAACTTTGGATTTTAAACCATTGTTGAGACTGTGATAGACTATGGTGACTTTTGAAGTTGGACTAAATGAATTTTGTCTTATGATTCCAGGGAGTGGAATGAGGTAGTTTGAATGTTATTGGCCCCTATAATCTCATAGGGAGTGGCAATATTAGGAGGGGTGGCTTTGTTAGAGTGGGTAAAACCTTGTTGGAAGAAGTGTGTCACTGAGGGGGCAGTCTTTGAAGTTTCCTATGCTCAGAATACCGCCCAGTGTCTCAGTCAACTTTCTGTTGCCAGCAAGATGTTGGACTCTCAGAGACTCGTCCAGTACCTCATCTGCCTGCATGCCATCATGCTCCCTGCCATGATGATAATGGATTGAAGCTCTAAAACTATAAGTGAGCCCCCTCAATTAAATGTTTTCCTCATAAGAGTTGCGGTGGTCATGTTGTCTCTGTACAGCAATAGAAACCCTAACTAAGATATGGGCTTTCCTTTGTTGGGAGATTTGGGTTTTGCTACTGATTTCATTTTGTTATTTATTGATCAATTCAGATTTTCCATGCCCTCATGGTTAATCTTTTTGTTGATTATATTATCTAGAAAATTGTGTACTTATTTAGGTTTTCCAATTTGTTAGTGTATTTGTTTATATTAGTCCCTGATGATTTTTAATTCAATGATATCAGTCATAATAGCTCTTTTTCACTTGGGGTTTAATCTATTTGAATCTTTTCCTTTTATTTGCTGAATTAGTAAGTGGCTTGTTGAATTTCTTTATCCTTTCAAGAAATACTTGTTTCATTGTTATTTTGTAACTTTTTAGTATCTCATTTTTTTTCTGTTCTACTCTTTGCTATTTCTGTCCTACTAATGTTGAGTTTTGTTTGTTCTTGCTTTTTTTCCCTTTAAATTGTGCCCTTAGTTGCTCATTTGAAGCCCCCCACCCCATCATTATTATAAACTGGCCTCTTCATACTACTTTTACTGTATCCTGTAGATTTTGTTATATTGTGTTTCAGTTTTCATTTGTTTCTAGACATTTTAAATATCTATTTTGATTTCCCATTGATCAATTTAGACGATGTATTTGTATTTTTAAAGTTTGTTGATTCTAGTTAAATTTGATTTGTGTAAAAGATATACTGAATTCTATTTTGAAAAAAATTGTTGACAAGCATTTTGGGCTCTAAAATATCTAACTTGGAAAATGCTGTTGTCCACTGATGAGAGGAATGTGGATTCTACTGCAGCTGGACCAAGTGTTCTGTAAATGCCTGGTGGATCTATTTAGTATACAGCATTGTTTAGCTCTGAATTTTTTTCATCTGGCTGATCTGTACGTTGATGAAAGGGTGTGCTGAAGTCCCCTGAAAGCACAGATTATTAATATTTATACCAACAAGTATAATGAGACATTGTACAATAAGTGAGTATGAATAAAATGAATAAGAAGAGGTTACAGTGTGATGCAATCCACTGAGAATTTAATTTAAGGGACT